GTGTGTGTGTGTGTGTGTGTGTGTGTGTGTGTAGGGCAGGATCCTTTCTGATTTACATCTTTAGAAACATTAGTGTTAGACCTTTAAAGAGCTGTTTTCCATGTGAAGCAAGAGAACCTGAAATTACAAGTCCAAATTTCTAGGGTAATGGTCTCCAAACTGCTTTAAAATAAGGCCAAGAGAGAATGATCTCCTATCTTAAACCCTTGATTAGTTCATGGCAGAAGAAGGAGACTATATTAACCTTGGACCAAAAGACTTTTCGAAACATATGGTCTTCAGTCATTTCACTTGCCCTCCCACATCTTCATGCATCACACAAAAGGGTCCTTGACAATCCCGGAGTATCGTCTCTTGTCTCGGTCAGTGACTCTCTGAGGGGTTCTCAGAAAGGAGGAATGAATCTCACCCAAACCAAGATGGCACCAATACCTGGCCCTGGCTTTATCAACTTGACAATAAAAATGAAGGGGAAAGTGATGAATATAAAAGAGCATGTGATTCTAACTGATCCACAACATAATAAAGATCACATCAGGGCCAAGTTCAACATCCAAAAGATCCATGGAGCCCCCCAAACTACCATGCGCTTATTTAATTCTAGAAAAGGAGAATTATATTAGGGTGTTGGGGGCTGGGTAATGAAAGGAACAGTTAAAAAGTAAATTACCCACTGGAGGCTATTTTAAAATATTTTTTTTGGGAGTACCTTGCTTGGCGTTCCAAAGTCAATAATAAAAGACCCTATATGCATCAAGGCTGAACGCCAACCAGATAATTAGTGAGACCACTTGATTCTGAGCTGCGCTGGGAGACAAAATGGAGAGAAGACAGGTTAGAGTCAGCGATTTTTCTTTTGACCTCTGCAAAGATGAAGACCATATGGACCGCCCTACTTCCTCTTTTGAAAGAGATTGTTGGGAAGTATGGCCGAAAGGCAGCAGAGGTCTACAAGATGCTCCAGTGGGCGAAGTTACTGGATAAATTAGCGGCAGCATGGTGGGTCATGTAAGTACTTTGTGATGGACTGTCAAAAAGCCCTATACAGGGAAGAAGGCAGCCCAAACGGTAGCTACAGAATAATGAAACATGCTATTTCACTGTTGGTTTTTCCTAGGGAGCTGGCCCTGACTCATAGCAGCTTCATGACCCGAAGGACAAAAATGGCCGGTTTGGTGCCATCTTTGTGATCATTTGCAGCTCGGACTACTCTGCCGACACACTTGTTGTTGTTCTAATGCATCTTCCTCTGGAAGTTTGGTTGGAACCTGTTCAGCATCATAGCACCACACAGCTGACAAAGGTGCGGCTGCTGCAGATGAGCTACATTGGCCGTGAACCAAACCAAGGTCCCCAGAAGGGAAGGCAAGAGTTCAATCACTGAAATACCAATAGTAGTCAC